AATCATCTGCTTGGTTCGCCTACATGACTTTCCTAGTCTACTTGACCATTCCTTGATTATTACTGTCTTTTAGCCCTATCCAGGTTGTCGTTGATGTAGCTTGTGGCTAATATATTGCTCTATTTGGCTTCCAGACTCTGATGAATGAATGCATTGCCTCTATTTTCATGTTCATGCAACTCAACTTGTTTACATTGAAGGTACAACAATTAAGGTCCTGACAACTTGTGCAAATGAGCCCATGCTCTGGTGAAACAGGCCACAGGAATGTACTGAGGAGTTGGTAAGCATAAGGCAAAAAAGCGAAAATACAAACCTACTTACCCAGATAGGAACTCAACCATTTTGTAAATGGCTTTGTGGAGCATGTTTGTGGAGTGTGTAGGTATTGAATTGAGTCCACACCCATGTGAAATGGACCACAGGAAGGTACTGAACAATTGGTGAGCATAAGGCAAAAAAGCAGAAATACAAACCTACTTACCTCGATGGGAGGTTGACCGTTTTGTAAACGGTTTCATGGAGCTTGTTCGTGGAATGTGTAGGTATCGAATCAAGTCCACACTCATGCGAAACGGACCACAGGAAGGTACTGAACAATTGATGAGCATAAGGCAAAAAAGCGAAAATACAAACCTACTTACCTCCATGGGAAGTTGACTGTTTTGTAAACAGTTTTTTGGAGCTTGTTCGTGGAATGCATAGGTATTGAATCGAGTCCATGCTCAAGCAAAATGGACTGCAGGAAGGTACTGAGAAGTTGTGAGCATAATGGTGAATATTCCGCATCAAAAGGAACGACTCACAAGTTGAGTCACGGAAATTTCCGAAAATGACGTACTTCCCTAGCGGGCTACCTTCAAAATGGAAGGTAGCCCGCAAGGGAAGTACGTCATTTTCGGGCAATGCCGTGACTCGTCTTTTTGCCCTTATGCCAACCTCTGCCCAGGACCTTCCTGTGGCTCGATTCCCTTCAACGTAGACTCGTTTGGATACTACTTCACGTCCCGAAAACGCTCCGACAAACCGTTTACGAAACCGTCAACTCTTCGTGGAGGAACGTCTGTTTGTATTTTCGTGTTTTTGCACTTCTGCTAAACTCTGCCCAAGGCCTTCCTGTGCCTCGATTTCCTTCAACGTAGACTCGTTTGGATACTACCTTACGTCCCGAAAACGCTCCGACAAACCGTTTATGAATCCGTCAACTCTTCGTGGAGGTACGTCTATTTGTACTTTCGTGTTTTCGCACTTCTGCTAAACTCTGCCCAAGGCCTTCCTGTGCCTCGATTTCCTTCAACGTAGACTCGTTTGGATACTACCTTACGTCCCGAAAACGCTCCGACAAACCGTTTATGAATCCGTCAACTCTTCGTGGAGGTACGTCTATTTGTACTTTCGTGTTTTCGCACTTCTGCTAAACTCTGCCCAAGGCCTTCCTGTGTCTCAATCTCCCTCAATGTGGACTCTTTTGGATACTACTACACATCCCGAAGACGCTCCAACAAACCATTTACGAAACTGTCATCCCTTCGTGGAGGTACGTCAGTTTGTAATTTTGTGTTTTTGCACTTATGCCCTACTCTACCCAAGACCTTCCTGTGGCTCGATTTCCTTCAACGTAGACTCGTTTGGACACTACTTTCAGTGTAGACTTGTTTTGATACTACTACATGTGTGCAAGTAGTAGAATAGCAGTGGGTACCCTTCACACCTTTAACACCAGTCTGTTCAATGGTGGCACCCCCACAGCACAGTTGATGGTAATTGAATCCATGTGCTTGGATCTTGGCGCTTAGCATGCGTGCAATGAAGAGGAAATGGTGGGATTGGAGAACCCAGTGAATTACTCCACAAGACGAACATGGTCAAAGTGTTTGGACTGGCCAAGATGACAACAGGTGCATAGAGATG